AGTGTTTTCATTCTCCGAAAAAGTTTAATATTAACACATTGACGACATTGAGACGCGGTAACGCGTCTCACTTTGCGCACCTCGTTGGACATTGAGACGCGTTACCGCGTCTCACCCTTATCATCCCTTTTTCTAGGGCATGCGCAGCTTTTTCCCGAATTGTTTGTCTCTCTTCTATGGATTAGAACATAACATTATTGTGAACGACATAGGTCATTGTTTGTTCAAATATGCTCCAGTTTAGAAGAAGTTTTCCAAGCTCACCGAAACCGGCGGCTTGGTTCATTAATAGTTTTCATGCTATTCTCATGAACACGTCAATAAAAAAGGGTAGTGAAAGTAAATGCAAATCTAAAGAGACAGAAAAATACATGTTTCACTTGGTATAACCACATCAAAAGAGCTTTTGGCATCCACTACAGATAAAATGACTAAAGTTTCCTTTTTCATTACCATGTTCTTTAATCGGAACTTCGTCACTATATACTCTATTACCTTCTACGCATTGACTGTTACTGAGATGTTTTTGTACCACTGGTGCTTTAAAAAGTTATCAATAAAAATTCACGGATCCGAGGTGCGGCGGTCGCACTCGCAAAATCGGCCCGGTCCCACACGGCCAAAAAAGCCAAAACGCGCGCGGTCGTCAATGTGTTAATTCCGTTCTGGCAAAAATAGAAGGATGGTATTTGTCTTGAATATGTATAATGTAGCTCGTGGCATTACGATACCTTATCGAAGTTGCTAATCATATTGACGTTGCGTTCATCAACTCATATTCCACGTTATGCAAAAATTTAATTTATCAAGGGCGCTGACCATGCACCACTGTCCTTTCCTCTCCTGCTTCTCTTTATTGTAATATTTAGGTCGTAAGGAAAGGGTCTGGCCGTATATTTCTGGCTAGGGTTTCGACGGACTGCTACGTGTTACATATCGTTAGGAAGCACGTTTCTTGCTCTATCTAATCGCACTGCAAGCTTTGCTTTAGAGGGACTACTCCCACTTATTCGAAACATTAAATGCAACATGCTCAGTTTCACCTTTGCGAAATTTTGTTGACCATAGTCATGACCGAACAACTCATCCGAAGTTCATGGGTTATTGAGAAGACTCCATTCTACAAGGGGAGTCACGATCCGGACAAAAAACGGGTCGTTTTCGTTGGAGGAAAGATTGCAGAAGAAAGGCAGATGGTCCCACGGAACCGCGATTTTTCGCAACACCCTCCTTATCGACGTTCCCGTGCTTCTTAAGCTATCCCATGTAACTTGAAACCATAAATTGAATGCGCCCAATTTGGTAGCGGTCTTCTTAATTGTTTGAAGCACATTTGATCCCATCAAAAGTTTCACGTAATTTTTACCGAAGTTCGAAATCCAGCGATCACTATCGCCAATTTCGAGGCTATCGCCATCCCTATACAAGCTCTCCAAACTATAACTTCATGGCTTATTTTTTGCAAATGCATGGCCAAACGAATAATTTATATCATAAGCTGATTCCGCTTCTTTCTGCCCTAATTCGAGGTAGAAGAAGAAAATCGTGAGGATTGGCTTGGTGAGCATGCTGCATTCAAGGCTTTCAAAAAGTGGGACCAGTCCCTATTGAGCAAAGCTTACCGCGGATTTGGATAGAGCAAGAAACGCACTTTCTAATGATATGCAACTCGCAGCAGTCTGCCGGAAAGTTTGCTAGAAATAATGTCATGAAACTTGTACTGTCGAAAACGGCCAGAACTTTCCTTACAACCTAATATTATGTTGGCCGATAAGAAATGTCGTCTTCTGGTCAGCAACAAACGTCACCGCAATAACAACACCAACGCGCATGGACCTAAATTGGGTCTAAGATTCCGATTAATTGATTCTCTCCGTTTTCTGAGCAAAAAATGACTTCTTTGAAGAACTATCTCGGGTGCGACTCATAAAAGTTGGACACCAAAATTTTAGCGCTGTCGAAGTTTTCGAATTTATGCTTGGCAAAGGTGTGCTGTGTTGACCGGAATGAACGGGAATCGGAAGGCCGCAAGTTGCTCTAATTGGCACGCGACAGAACTTCTGTATAAATTTTCGTTCTGTCTGGGGGTATTCGCGGTAGGAGGTCTTGAGCTTAGTTGAGGCTGGTCAATTTCATATCGAACAGAATGACCCCTTGATGACGCTTTCTTGGTCCATGCAGGCACCTGCTGTGCGTACAGTTAAAGTAACTGACTCACCCACAACCAACACTTCGAGCTACACCAGTTCCGCACTGTCCTGCAATACGTAACACGATCTTTGTTCCGTGGATATCCGATTTTTGCGTAAGATCGGCGTCTCAGCTGTCTGCCAATCACGCTTGTCTTCTCACTGCGTTATCGTGGGACATTCCTTTCTCAGATGACCTCACAACCAAGACAAAACTCTGTTTTTCCTGGAGGTGTTAGACAGAGTTTCACCACTGACAACGTGCACTGTTTGTACGCTATACTAAGGAGATGCCAAAATGCATTTTCCGTACCGATCGGCCTTAATAATCATCCAGCTAAAGCCGCTCAATCTCTAGTGTGGTCAAACTTCATGAAGAGTTCAACCATCGGTAGTTTGGCATATGGTTTTCCAATTCAACGGATTTCCTTAGTACTTTGTTATCAACAGCTCAGCTTTGAGTCCGCATGTTGCGCTCTCGTCCCTCATGGACATTATTCAGATTCGTTTGATAGCGATCGAAATTAGCTGTAACTGTCCCCAGGCTTAAGCTCGTCTTCTGAGCTGAATCGCTTTCTAAACTTTTGATGTATCCTGATGTGGAAAACGTCCTTTCAAAAAAGCACCCACGCATTGTGGGACATGTTTCAGCATAGAAGCAATGGCACAAAAATGAGCGACATTTGTGCTTGGCCAACTTAACAAAGTATTTCATTTATATAATTAGCTGTGTGTGTCTGTGTGTGTGTGTGTTTGACCGGAAATTCGTAGCTCGAGTCACAGCAATGATAGCGCCATGGTTCTTACATATGTTATAGGGGGTGGGATGGGGACACAAGTGGTACGTGATAGGAACTGATAACGACTGATAATAGCTGATAAGAGGGGCTAGAAAGCGAGCATCGCCAATTTCGTTTTGTCGTTCATATTGGTACTAGAGCGTCTATACTTACAAGTGTTATGTGGGGTGGTCCCGGGACATAATGGTGGGTGATTGAAAGCGATTGCAACTGATAGGGCGCATCAGAATGCGAAAGTCAGTACCTTTTTCCTAATTCGCCTTGACACCAGAGCATCCATGCTTACAAGTGTTATGTGGGGTGGGACGGGGACATTGTTGGTGGGTGATTGAAAGTGGTTGCAACTGATAAGGGCTGATAAGGGGCGTCAGAACGCAAAAGTCGTCGATTCCGTTACCCAGCTCGCGTTGACACCAGAGCGTCCATACTTACAGGTGTTATGTGGGGTGGGACGGGGACATTGTTGGTGGGTGATTGAAAGTGATTACAACTGATAAGGGCTGATAAGGCGGCGTCAGAACGCAAAAGTCGTCATTCCGTTACCCAGCCTACATTGACTCTAGAGCATCTATACTTACAAGTTCTTTCCACAACTCACGTAGCCCCCGTTGACACCGTAGAGTTTCACTTACAAGTGACACGTAGGATGGAAAAGGGAAATTGTTTGTCGGTAAGGGAGGATGATCGCAAATTATAAAGGCTGTCAGGGCGCTTTTGAACGCAAAGTCGCCATTCCGTTGCGCAGCCCTTATTTACTCTCGAGTGTTCGCACTTCCAAGTGTTCCGCGGGGAAGGATGGAGACATTCACTATAACCAGTTACATGAACAGCTCTTTGTGGAATGATACATTTCACTCCTAATCTAATAACAAGAGGGCCAGAACTCGCTAATCCGACTCAACTTGGGGATTTGAAGAGTGTGAATGTAAAACAAAGATAAGCATAGATGTCCACTTTTATAAGGAGCATATTTCATTTTCATTTGAAGGCTAAAATGCAACCCTATTCACCGCTAAATTGTCAGGATTCAAGAAAAATGCTAGGTGTTTACAGAGTTGTGATA